AAACAGCAGTCAGATAAAAAACACAACAAAACTATTTAAAAAAGAAAAACGACTCAGAGATACTGCTTTGGGGAAGAAAAACCAGTGTAATATCTATGAAGCATTTGAAAACTCTTATTTCCTTAAACATCTGTAACAGGAATCTTTGAAACCGGAAAAAAAAAAAGAGAGAAAAATCACTGAACATTTGAGAAATAATTAAGCTATGATGTATACAGCCACCAAAATAAAAGCTGTGGAAACTGTATAGATGAAAAGTATGTACCAAATAATTTTAGATTAAAAAAAGAATATACTTATACATACTAGCAACAACTATGGAAAAATATGATAATAATTAATAATAACAATAATCAAGGTTCTGAAGTCTTGCCAATCAGTAGAGGTAAAAATCGCAGTATAAAATTCACCTAATATAAGTCACCATTTTAACAATTTTAAAGTGTACAACTCAGTGGCTTTTAGTACACTGATGAAGCTATATAACAATTTCCATTATCTAATTCCACCACTTCTCCAAAAACACTGTACTAGTTAAGTACTCATTCTCCATCCCTTCCTTCCTCCCTCCACCCCCCTGGCAACCACGAGTCTGCTTTCTACTTCTATGGATTTGCCTACTCTGGATATTTCATATAAATGAAATCACATACTATATGACTTTTTGTGCCTGGCTTCTGTCACTCAGCATAATATTTTCAAGGTTCATTGATTTGCTAAGTACTTCATTCCTTTTTACAGCTTAATAATATTCTGTTATACCACATTTTATTAATCAGGTGATATAAATTTGCCTTTCCCCCACTTTTTGACTATTATAAATAATGCTGCTATGAACATTTGTGTACAAGTTTTTGTTTGAGCACCTTTTTCCATTTCTTTTGGGAATATACCCAGGAATGGAATTGCTGAGTATATTATATGATAAAGAACCATGTCTAATTTTGAGGAACTGTCAAAGTGCTTTCCACAGTGACTGCAACATTTTACCTTTCTACTAGCAATGTTATGAGGGTTCAAATTCTCTACACCCTTGCCAACAGTTATTCTTTTGTATTTTGGTATTTTTTTAAATTATGAAAGCTATATTAGTGGTTAGGAATGGTATCTCTTTGTGGTTTTGATCTGCATTTCTCTAATGACTAATTATGTTGAGCATCTTTTCATGTGCTTATTGGCCATCTGTATATCTTCTTTGGAGAAATGCCTACTCAAGTCCTTAACTCATTTTTCAATTAGGTTGTCAGGCTGGGCACGGTGGTTCATGCCTGTAATCCCAGCACTTTGGGAGGCTGAGGCGGGTGGATCATGAGGTCAAGAGTTTGAGACCAGCCTGGCCAACATGGTGAAACCCCATCTCTTCTAGAAATACAAAAATTAGCCAGGCGTGCGCCTGTAATCCCAGCTACTTGGGGGGCTGAGGCACGAGAATTGCTTGAACCTGGGAGACAGAGGTTACAGTGAGCCAAGATCGCACCATTGCACTCCAGCTCTGGGCAACAGAGCATGACTCCATCTCAGAAAAATAAATACATAAATAAATTAGGTTGTCTTTTGTTGTTGGAGTGTAAGAATTCCTTATATATTCTGGATACTAGATTCTTACAACATATATGATTTGCAAATATTTTCTCCCATTTTGTGGGCTTTTTACTTTCTTGAAAATTTCTTTTGATGTATAAAAGTTTTACTTTTTTAAAAAAGAGATAGGGTCTTGTCATGTTTTCCAGGCTGGACTCAAACATCTGGGCTCCAGTAATCCTCCTGTCTCAGCCTCCCAAATAGCTGGGACAACAGGCAGTCTATTCGGCTTACAAGTTTTAAATTTTGATGCAGTCTAACTTAGCTACTTTTCTTTTGTTGCTTCCGTGTTGGTATTATATCTAAGAATCATCAGTGGAGGTCTTCCATTGTATCTTATGTTTGGCTGTTACATTAAACTTTTAGTATGACTTTTTTTTAAAATACACAAATTCTGTCCAAAAAACACTGGGTAATAAAGCCACACCTTCTGTAATGCTTACACCACTAGATGACACCATTGAGCACTTTAAATTTAGGCACTGCAAATGTTTTTAGTATGATTTCCATGTAATTATGTAACATTACCAGAGACACTGCTGGTTTATTAAGTCTGAACAAAATTTCCTGTATCAGGGCATACTTTCCCTGAACTTGTTTAAAAAAAGAACATATAACAGCTTCTGATACATGGTTTCTGCCTTAGAAATGGTCTTGGTGGACAATCATAACATGATTATGTTTTTGCAAGAAACCACTGGTGTATTTTGAGTATAGTAAATGGTAATATGGTTATTGTGAGCTCCAAAAAAAAAAAAAAAAAAAAGGGGGGGGCATGATTTTAAGGTGAATCAAATACCCACACAGTTTCTATTTTCTCAGTGCAATATAGATAGTACCCACTGTGCTGTGCCCGGACTCTGTGCTAGCTTTATGGGTGAAGTGAGAGGGAGGAGAAAAGTTGAAAAAAGAAAATCGAAGTTCTGGTGGTACTTCTCTTTTTGACCTTACTATAATCAGGATTATTTCTGAAAGGTATTTTTCACTAAAGGAATTGTACTATTAATTTTGATAGAAGTATATCACAAATCAGGAATTATACATTCACTCAGCTTCTTAAATCCTACTTTAAAAATTCTAACTGGGTACAGTGACATGAGCCTATGATCTCAGCTACTTGGGACACTGAGGCAGGAAGGCTGTTTGAGCCCAAACAGTCTTTGAGTTTTAATCAGCAGTCATCTATGATCATGCCACTGCACCCCAGCCTGGACAACAGAGCAAGACCCTATCTTTAAAATAAATAAATAAATTCTAAACACTTTTATAAAGACATTCAAGAAGTAATTTGTTTCTATATTTCACTTCAGCAATAAAACATATATTATCTCATCATGAGATAATAACTGACACATGTATCCCAGGGTCCACCAGTAGACATGATCATCCAAACAGCTGCCAAAGCCTTACCAAAGTGACAGCAGTGGCTGCTGCCATCATGCCAGCTACAGCAGGGCAGCACTGCTGGGGCTGCATACTCCATGGAGCCAGTGGGAGCCCTGCCCCTTCTGAGTTGGGATGGGAGCTCCCCAGGTGCCACTGTAGTCTCCCAAACTGCAGCTGCAGACCCTGGCCTCCCGGGAGGGGCTACAGCTGCCCAAACTGCAGCTGTGGATCCGAGCTTCCCTGTGTTCTTGGGGCACACCTGGGAAGGGCACCTGCCCCTGTCCCTGCTGGCTTGGGGATGTCTGTTCCTGCTGCCTGGCTTCTCTCCTCTCCTGGAGCCTGCTCTGATCAGTGGGGCTGTGGTTGATCCCCAGGGCCCGGAATAGCAGCAGGGGGCAGAGTCCTGGGCAGAAGCGGGGTGGGTTCCCAGCAAGGCACCACCTTCAGGCCGGGGAGGGCCTAAAGACTGGGGTCTGGACTGCCAGTCCAGCAGACTAGAGTGGGAACTTGTAGTGCCACTTCTAGGTTTTCATATAGCCACTCACCCAATCAGCACACCGGTCCTCCCCTCTGAGGTCCATAAAAGCCCTGGGCTCAGTCAGGGGAGAGGATGGCCAGAGGAGGAAGAGGGCAGAGAGAGGATGGGATGAATAGTTGCAGAGTACTCTCTCTGCTGATAGCTAGAGATGATGGGACAGCCAGCTGCAGGAGCTACCCTCTCTGCTGAGAGCTTCAGTGACCTGCAGAGATGTCCAAATGACTTGCCTGTGGAGAAAAGCTACCCTCTCCAGGGCCTCCTCTCTGCCGAGAGCTGAACACTCCAGGGGATGATCTGCCTACAGAGAGGAGCTACCCACTCCTCTGCTGTTCTAACAGTAAATAAAACTCTTCTTCACTCTTCACTTGTCTGCCTACCTCATGCTTCCTGGATGCAGGACAAGAACTTGGGCAAAGGCACCAAGGCCACAGAGGTTCCTGACCAGAAAAATTGGCACCCCAGAGATCCCGTAACAAAAAAAGTTTAATTAGAAATACTGAACTTTTGTTGACAGCTTTGAATTTAGATGTAGAAGCATCTTTCTTCACTTAAGATGGAAGAATGTCAACCAGAATTATACAGAGGTGCATTATTTAATATAAAAGAGTTTAAAAAAATGGCAACTTGGTGCACTAGCAGTACCTAACTATTTATATTAAAAAGATTTACCTCCAACAGGGATTTGGACCATTCTTTTTAAAAAGGCAAATCCCAACTTAATAGTAATATCCTAGTTTTTACTATCCTAACAATCGACAAGCACAAAACAAATGTATTTCAGTCCTGCCCTCTCTTCTTTTACAGGTAGACAAAAAACCCTGTAAGCCTTAGGGGTAAGGAAGATTCCTTCAGATACTAGCTGCCTTCCATTTTCTAAGGCCTAACTAAACCAGTTGTTCCCAAAGTTAAATACACCTGAGAATCCCTGCAGAGCTTATAAAAACATAGATTGTTTCAGCATAGTGAGGCTATTCTGTATACTACCACAATGGTGGATACATGTCATTATACATTATGGTAAACCCAGATTGTACAATGTAAAGAATGAACCCTAAGGTAAACTACGAATTTAGGGTGATGATGATGGTGTCAACATAGGTTCATGTATTGTAACAAATATACCACTCTGGTGGGGGATATTGATAGTGGGAGGAAATCTAGGGGAAGAGAGATCTCTGTACCTTCTGTTGAATTTTGTTGTGGAACTAAAACTGCTCTAAACAATAAAGTCTGTTTTAAAAAACAAACAAATTGCTGGGCCCCACTCCCAGTCTCTGATTCAGTAGGCTGAAGTTGGGCCCTAAGAGTCTGCATTTTCTAACAACTTGCCACTGGCCTGGGACCATACTTTGAAAACTATTGAACTGCACAGTTACTTTAGCTGACTGACTAGGTTGGGCATTTATGTGGACTTAGATTCTGGTGACCCTCTGGAAGTAGAGTGGCTGCAGGCAGAGAAGCCTACCATCCTGAATAGAGTCAAGAGCACCAAAAGGTACTGTTACTGTAGATGGATCAGCAGCTGTTTTCTACTGGCAATCATGCTCTACTTCAGCTGCGAGACAGGAAAGAGCTTGAGCTCTGAAACCAGTTGGATGCGGGTTAGAATCCCAGAGCTTTTACTTACTTTATCATGTTGATGGTTTTCTTATTTGTAATTAAGGAAAGTGGGAGTACCACATACTCCACAGGACGTAGTGAAGATTAAGTAAGGTAATGGATGTGGTATAATGTTAGTCATTCTTGCCTTGCTTTAAAATCATCAGTGCATTGGCCACATATTGATAATGGTTAAAGCTGGGTAATGAGTACATGGGGGTCATTATACTGCCTTTTTTTTTTTCCCATTCAGTGTATATTGAAAATTTTTCATAGAAAAAGAAAAAGAAAACCTGAATATGAGGTTAAAAAAAATCCACAATTTTTTTTTTTCCAATGGCTCCTGCTGTATATTTTGAAAAGTAGAAATTCTTCAGCTGGCATTTAAGATTCTTTACAATCTGGTCCCAACATAACTCTCTCTCATTAGCACCATATCTCATCACTGTTCTCTACATTATACTCTATATCCCAACCATACTGAGTTATTTTGGAAAATGACATTCACTTTCATGTTTTCAATTAAGTTATACTCTTGGCCTAGAATGTCCTTTCCCCCTTCTCTTCCACTTAAATACTACTACTACTACTAATAATGATGGTTAGCACAGGCAACCAACATTCACTAATGGCTTACTGAGTTCCAAGTGCTTTACAAAACTGATTCAACTAGCTTTTCCTTAGTGTTCCCACAATATTCTTTTATATGCTCTATGGGTATTATTGCAAATCATGGATTGAATCTTATTTAAGTAGGTGAGAGGAGGCCCATTTGATCAGAAGCCTCCTTCAATGGAGATTAACCTTAAAATATCTTTCCAGCTATTCAACACCCAGAATTCCCTGCATTTTAATTACCGCCTTTGCAAGGCTGTGGTACTTACTAACCTGCACATGAACTAATTTTCTGGTGGGTAAGATAGCTGGAGGCCTTCTGGCCTGGGTGAATTATTGCTAGTGTGCATAGAGTTAATGCAGGTGATACAAAAATTAAGAAACAGTTGGAATTCAAAGCACAGGAAGTGGATGACAACCCTATGATTTGCTCCAGCCCTCTGCCTTAACTGCAATTGTCTGAACCAATGATGGCCTCTAGAGATAAAGTTCAAGGCAATTCTGGGTAGTACTATCTCAACATGGTTTGTGACTGGAAGGCAGATGACATAAATATTTATATGGACTTTGATTAAAAAGCCAATGATTAGAATAAAAATAGTCCCAAAAAGTAGAACCAAAGAGCTTGAAAATGCTTTTTACAAACTCCCCACCATTTTATTTAAAACACTATATTGAAACCATTTAAATACATGTCAGATTTTCCCAAAACACCCTTAATTCCTGACGAACAGGCAGCACTTGCTTCTTCCCTTTATCCTATCCTTAGCAGAGAAGGCCTCTAATAAATGATGATTGAAATGAATCAAACTGAGAAGGGTGTGAACTCAAAAGCAGACCCCAGTTGTATAAGCAGGAAAGCACCAGAGAAACATTTTGAGAGTGAAGTAAAGAACGAGGCATTTATCTTAATTGGGTCACCTTTATTATGATGAAAAAAATAATATGTTGTGAAAGCTGATTACACAAATTGACGGAGTCTTGCTCTGTCGCCCAGGCTGGGGTACAGTGGTGTAATCTTGGCTCACTGCAACCTCTGCTTCCTGGGTTCAAGTGATTCTCCTGCTTCAGCTTCCTGAATAGCTGGGATTACAGGCATGCACCACTATGCATAACGTGTGTGTGTGTGTGTGTGTGTGTGTGTGTGTGTGTGTGTGTGTGTGTNTGTGTGTGTGTGTGTGTGTGTGTGTGTGTTTGTGTTTTAGTAGAGATGGGGTTTCATCATGTTGGCCAGGCTGGTCTCGAACTCCTGGCCTCAAGTGATCCGCCCACCTCAGCCTCCCAAAGTGCTCTGGGACTACAAGGTGTGAGCCACCACGCCCTTCCTTAAATTTTTTAATAAAATAAAAAAATTTTTTAAAATTATTTTTTAAAAACTCCTCTTACATCTTACATAACAGTATCCAGCAAACATCTATCAAATACAATTGTACAGACAAGGTCAGATACCTATACATATATTCTTCACAAGATCTTGTAACAGCATTCTGAGTCAATGCTATCAGACTGACTTTTATTTTGACCAGACACTACTTCCCTCCTTTTTTTTTTTTTTTTTCTTGAAACAGAGTCTCACTCTGTCGCCTAGGCTAGAGTACAATGGCGTGATCTCGGCTCACTGAAATCTCCCCGGATTCAAGTGATTCTCCTGCTTCAGCCTTCTGAGTAGTTGGGATTACAGGCGCCTGCCATCATACCCGGCTAATTTTGTATTTTTAGTAGAGACAGGGTTTCACCGTGTTAGCCAGACTGGTCTCAAACTCCTGACCTCATGATCCACCAGCCTCGGCCTCCCAAAGTGCTAGGATTACTGGCGTGAGCCATTATACCTGGCGTCCTCCTCTGACTTTCAAACCTGTGTATCAAACTGCCTCTTAGATTGAATGATTCTCTTTTCCACCTGCTTTTCTTTTTGGGTTCCTCAATGTGTGATGGCACTAATCAGTCGCCTGCCTGTGGCAGAAACCTAACTCCCCATTCCCTTTCCCTACTATACTTTCTCTGCAATGCACAGTTTTTGGCTTCTCTAACATTCCTTTTTTGCCTCTGAGCTTTCACAAAGACTTTTCTTCTGCCTTGACTACTCTCTGCTTTCTCTCCCATGATCTGGCTCACTCTTATCAGCCTTAGTATCTTCACTTAATCATCTACTCTGGATATCTCTATTGTCTTTTTGCTTCATAACTCCTGATCATAGCGTAAAACCTCATGCTGGTGATATTTGTTTGTATGTCCCTCTTTTTGTTTAAGTTCCATAAAGGGAGAGATCAGCTCTGTCTGTTTACCATTCCATCTTCTATGCTGAATATAGGGTTTGGCATACTGGTGGAGCTCAATAAATATCCGTTCAACAAATAATACACCAATCAGAATTCACATGATTACAAAAAAATGAATAAACCTATACTTGAGCCCCATAACTGAGAAGTCTAATGATGTTACATAACATTTATAAAATTGTATATAACTTAAAAAAGTAATTAATTTCACAAAACTCTAATTCAGTAGTTTTCAAATATTTTCAGTAGTGGCATCTTTTTATGTGGAATTCCAAGACATAAAATATATATAATCTTGCATGCTTTCTTCTTCCTTCTAGCAACAGATCCTGCTCTCCTGAACTAAGGGGTAAACCTGCAGGGCAGGCAGATATGCAAGACAGAACCTCAAACCACGGCCCTCGCCCCTAATTACTGGGTGGAGGTGGTCCCTTGATCTAAATTAGTCATCCCCAGGATCGAAGCTGAAAGATTAGTCCAAAAATGGCCTGTCCTTCCCACCAAACGGCTATTCTTCCTACCAAGAGGATAGAGCCTATCTGTAGTAGGAAGGAATTAGACCAACTCACAGAGAAAGGCAGTGATGAGAAATTTGGCAAAGTGAAGATGGGAATGGCAGGCAGAAGCAAGGAACGCTGTCCTTGAATTGGGTAGTTCTTGATTGAGTAAGCACCACCTCATCCTTTCTATGATTTGGTTGAGCCAACAAATTCCTCTGTTTTGCCTAAGCTACTTTGAGTTGGGTCATTTTTACTTGCAATTGAAAGACTTCTTACTTTAGTAACAAATGATAACCAACTTACACTAGCCATATCCAAACAGTTTTTGCATACATATGTTCATAAATGGCAGGATAAGCATTCTTTCCAGGTTTATATAAATGTGAGTTAATCTGGCAGAATGAACTCCTTGGTGGTCTCCAATATGCAAAAACTTGGCAGGTAATTTATTCAAATATACTTTAAAAAAATAGTCAAACTTTTTTACTATTTGACACAAACTTCCAGGAGAATAATTCTGTAATAATTGAGAAACTAAGAAACCATTGGGACTCTGAGCACAAATATGTTTTAATGACTCAGCAATGTTTCTAAACAATTGAATTTGAATGCCTCTAAGCAGCCACATTTTTTCCAGGTAGTTATTAGACCACACACTCCCTTACATATTACCTCTGCCCTCTTTATTCATTTGACTTACTTGATCCCTAAAATCAGTTGAGTTTGGAACCCAAACTCATAATGTTAAATACTCAAGATAGTGGGGGGGGGGGAAGGGAATATTCTAAGGACATATTCAGAAACTTAGAAATCTGGAATGTTCCACTAAACATTTATTTTAAAAGAAGTGTAAATGTCCTAGAACTTGAAGAAGATTATGATGAATTAGGAGGGAAAATGGGTCATTTTCATAAGCATTTGATGTAATTTCCCCTAAAGTAAGAAGTTTAAACAGTGGCCTCCTTATTTAGATCCAGGAAGGGCACAGATTCTCCAGTCATAGAGTTATGCTGAAATCCCTTGAGTTTCCTTAATGCAGCCTAGAAAAACAAACTCTTCTTTTCTCAGAGAAATGGGCATTTCTAAAATAGCCTTTGGTAAAAGTCAAGGATATAAATATCAAGATGATGATAAATGTAAGTTGTCTTAAAATTAAATCATGAAATTCTACAGTCTGCTGATATTGGAAGAAAACACTGATTGCCTCCCTGCTTTTGTTTCTCTTTCTCAGAAGACCCCTAATCAGGTTACAAAGAGAAAGTAGCTTTTTAAAGAAATCTAAACAAGTATTGGGCTGTATTTGCATTATTGTAGCTGAATCTGCCAACTGATATAAAGTAAAACCAGAAACATATCACCTAATTTTTTATGTGGTTGTTTTTATACGTGGTTGTTTCATTTAAAAGCGCTGAGTTACTTCAGGTTACTTCAGGTTCTATGAAAGAGGAAACAAATAAGGAAGTTCATGTCTGTAAATTACAAAACCAGGAAAGGAAAATTTCAATGCTGTGTTTCTATAAAGTTTGTGTTATCATCTTGCATTACTAGCAGAATGCAAGATAAGTCAGACGCCGGAAAAAGGTCTGCTGTACTACTTATGGTCACCCAGTTGCAAGTGTGCTACAACCACATAATATTTAGGTTGCCATCTCAAAAGAGCATAGGCAATACAGAGCCCTGAACCATATATACTTTCAACCCTAGTTCTACCACTCACTAGCAACATCACTCTGGGAAGACAATGACCATTTTTGAGCTTTCCATTCCTTATCTGACAGAGTCAGAAGAGAATGGTGTGTGTAAATGGTGTTATTAAAATCATAGGGCTTAACCATTTCTATGTTATACCAGAGAATTTAATCTATCTCCCCTGTAGAACTATAGTTAAGAAATTTTGGTGACAGACTTGGTTTCTGAATCTGACTCTATTAGGTACCTGAGCAGCAGAACTGCTCTAAGTCTGTTACCTTGTCACAACTCAACAACCACTTATCACACCTTAATAACAACCACTCACAGCTGAGTGACCATAAGAAGTACAGCAGACCTTTTTCAGGCCTCTGACTTATCTTGCATGCTAGTAGTAATGCAAGAGGATAACACAAACTTTATGGAAAAACAGCATTGAAATTTTCCTTTTCTTGTTTTGTAATTTACAGACATAAACTTCCTTATTTGTTTCCTCTTTCATAGAACCTGAAGTAACTCAGCACTTTTAAATAAAATAATTAAAAAGCCGGGCGCGGTGGCTCAAGCCTGTAATCCCAGCACTTTGGGAGGCCGAGGCGGGTGGATCACGAGGTCAAGAGATCGAGACCATCCTGGTCAACATGGTGAAACCCCGTCTCTACTAAAAATACAAAAAATTAGCTGGGCATGGTGGCGCGTGCCTGTAATCCCAGCTACTCAGGAGGCTGAGGCAGGAGAATTGCCTGAACCCAGGAGGCGGAGGTTGCGGTGAGCCGAGATCGCGCCATTGCACTCCAGCCTGGGTAACGAGCAAAACTCCGTCCCCCCCCCAAAAAAAAATAAAAAAAAATAAAAAATTAAAAAATAGTATATCCTCAAAAGGTCTGTTAAATCGATATTTTCTATATATCATTTTAATTCCCTTGTTTCTTTTACTATATATTCTGGGATGGTTTCCTGGGAATTATTAGTGTGATTTTATCAAACTCAAGAGTCTCGGCCAGGCGACATGGCTCACGCCTGTAATCCCAGCATTTTGGAAGGCCAAGATGGGAGGTTTGCTTGAGGGCAGGAGTTGGAGATCAGCCTGATCAACATAGCAAGACCCCATCTCTAATTTAAAAAAGAAATAAAAAATTAACAATTAAAAAAAAGAATCTCAATTGACTGACTTTTAAATTCAGATTCTCCCTTCTGTCAATTCAACTTTGCTGCTGAAGACTACTAGTATATTTTTATTTCAGTTATTGTATTTTTAACTCTAGAATTTCTATTTGATCCCTTTTTATAATTTGTATCTCTTTGAGGATATTCTTTATTTGGTGAGATATCATTCTCACTTTCCTTCAGTTCTTCAGATGTGGTTTCTTTTAGCTCTTTGTAATATATTAAAAATAGGCAATTTAAAATCTTTTGGACTTCCTTGGAGACAGTTTCCCTTGTCTCCTTTTTACCCTGCGTATGGGCTATATATTCCTGTTTTTTCACATGCTTCACAACCTTGTTAAAAATGAAATATTTAAATAGCAGGATTCTGCTCACCAACCATACCATCCAATAGCAAAGAGGAGCTCTTCCTTAGCTATGCTACTGATGACAAACAGAATATGAACACAGTTGCATGGCTGCAGGAAGACAGAGATAGAGGGCCAAAGGTTTGATGGAGAATTCTTAAGGCTTTTGGAGAAACTACAATAGAAGTTTAGCTATTTAGGTATCGAAACCAGAAAAATGTACAGATTAGACAGTAAATAAGATGCTGCAAACAAAAGAATTGTCGGAGAATTTTCCTATATTCATCTTTTGGCCGTGTTATTTAAATGGTCTCTTTTGTGTGCATTTTTGACATCAAAGTATTGAACTAGCAGAAAGCATTTAGCATAAAGAAATATAAAGCTTTAGCATTAGTTCAGGAAGCAATATCTCTGATATTGGCAATCTGAGTATTCCTTACATTGACATTTTAGGGAAGAGTTAATATACATTTCATGGACCTATGGGACCATTAACAGAAAGGAAATAGTCTGATCTCCTGAGATGTTTCCATTGCTCTCGTCCCATGGTCTGATCCTTTACAGCTCCCAAACAGCCTCTAATAGGAATAATCTTTTTTTTTTCTTTTTTAATTGAGACACA